GCAACAATGCCTGGGGTTAAGGTTCCGAATTGTGGACAGTTTACGATTTGAAAGTGCTTGTTAAAACACGGTCTGTTTTAACATAAAACAAGGAGCATCTTACTCTGGTGTTTGAATACAAGTGGTTCTACTTAATCACCGGCAGACAGAAATTCAAATTCTCCAGCAGATGTCTGTCCGTCATGCCCCAGTCCGCACTCTCAGATCTCCCCCCCCCCCCTCTCCCCAACACCTCTTTTTGAAGATGGCAACAAACGAGGTTGGTTGGCCAAGCACGACGGCCCACTCCGTCATACTCCCATGGTTCACTTCATGAAGTGTGAATTGAATGCCGGGCATGCATGCAGGCAGAAACACAAGGCAGTGCCGACTGGTTTTCTCAAGTACACCGAACCTGGTATTTTTAGAGCAAAAGGATGGGGAAAAGCTGTAATTTACTAAAAAAAATTCAAGGCAGGGGAAACGGAACATGAAAGCTTCCTTGTAAGCAGCTGGACTTCACAATGATCGAGTGCAGCTTGAAAAAAGTCTGGAATTGTTCTGAAAATGTAACTTGAATTTGTAGGATTAAGTTAGCATGAAATTTACTTGGTCTAGCCATAAGAGAAGGGACTTGTGGAGGGCTAGTTTGAATCATGTTTCTAGACACCTTCATCGGCAATTTTGTTTGTTTTGTTTAATAGTTTTTTTGACACAGCGCGCAAAGAAATTGTGGAGTTTTGTAGAATTCACAGGTGAGCTTTTTTAAGTTTTCTCAGAACTTGAATTCCAAAGATTATCTCAGATTTCAAAAGATATCAAAAGGGCTGATAATTTACCCTTTAAAAAATAAAAAAAATGAAGTCCTGAAATTTGTCTTTTTAGCTTGGAGATTCCTCTGTAGTACTGAAAGTCGACCAGAAGACAAGTACAATAGTTGTTGAAAATTAAAACCATTCGATACACGTGCGGCAGGCAACGAAATGTCTCAGCCGAAACATTGGCCCTTGGACATGTAATAAAAATAAAAGCTGGTGGGCCATTGCCCATGCTACGAGCTCTTGCGAAAACAATTGAGATGTGGCACGAGCACCTTGTTGCCCCGTAGGTGCGCCACCCGAAACCTGCTTGACGTGGTCACTGGACACCTCTCATGGCCTGTCCTGGCTTCTTTTTCCCGAGCGAAAACACTATTGAAAGATATGCACTCGTAGGACCGGGAGCAGTGCTCTCGCCGAGGTTCCAGAGTGGACACGAAAAACCAGCAGCGATCCGCCTGCCCCGCTATTAAATTTGATTGGTTTGTAACCAGACGACCGGAGTGGGTCTTTATTAGGTCATTTGTCTCAAAGGATACTGTGTGAAGAGCCTTCACCACAGATCCCCTTTCCCCCACAGAAAAAAAAAAAACAAGGGAAAAAAAATGAAATTGATTAATTTACCTCTAAGGCCTGAAGTTCATGAAGTGAATGCACATGGTATTTTTCCATATATTTTTTGTGAGGTTGGGGACTGTTGATGGTGCTAAGCATATTTGACAAGGAAAATTGCTGTTAATAACGTAATAAAACAAGTTCAATTTATTTTGATATATTCAATAATGTTCTGTAAGTTCATTCTTCCTTTCCTTATGATAAAATCAGGAGTGCAATTTGTTAGAGTTGAAAACTGATTGCACTTGTGAAATTCATGTACTGTCAACCAAAACACATTAAAAACAGCAATGTGAAATGTCAGACGTTCACACACAACATTATGAGTTCAATTTATTCAAAATGTAAGTTACCCCTCCTCCAACACAATGTGGTTATGTTTAATGAAACAAGGGCGGAAGTATGCAATGGCATAGAACATTGATTGGGTCGGCCAACACGTTATACTTATAGCACCATTACGGTCCCATTTGTATGAACTGTTCTATTTCAAGTCCCGCACATTTTTGTTGCGAAGCACAAAACCCCTCCCAGTGCATTTGAGCGTAATTAACGCTAAAAAAAAAAAAAAACCAGTGAACGGTGAGCGGTTCTCACTAGGACGCGCAGACTCAGCAAGTAAATGCTTCAGCATGCTCCGATGCGTCTATATCCATCCAGGGCCACACCAGAGATGGAGCAAGCAGATACGCATGGCCGGCAATGCAACGCTTTTCATTAATATATTAGTGGATGCGCCACGGCTGCCTGGCCATGTATAATGAGGGTGTGAACCAGCCCTTAGCAGCATAGTAATAGCTGATGCTTTGGGAATACCACCCATGATTAGCCATGCGAAACCGGGGACTGAAACCAGACCCTTTCTTTTTTTTCTTTTTTTTTGGGGGGTTTGTAACACGAGCCGGGTTGTATGAAGACAGATGACGGTGATACGCAGTCTGGAGGATCATGGTCTCGTATTTTCCCGTTAATGGCCACGGACGGGTAACTGCGCGTGACCGTCACGCTCCACGACAAAAAAAAATGCATATTTGTACATGTGCATTTGGTTTGTGGGAGGAAAGAAAGGGGGTAGGCGTACACGTGTAGACGGAAAGGAACGCTTGGACTTCTGTTGCGTGTCAAAATGGCTTCACGAGAAACTTATGCAAATTGTAAAGTACACATCGTCGTTTTTATTTTGCTGCAGGCGCTTTTGTTTGTTGTGCTTTCATTGTACCTGGAAACAATGCCAATGTCAGGATGATGAAGGTGTGTCTTGGAGTGTGACTTTCTTTGTTGTCACCAGTGGTTTGGGTGAATCAAAACAGTGCACAGTCATGTGCCAACGATGACATTCAGCAATAGAAAAATAAATACATATTTAATAAGAAATAAAGCATGTAGAAACATTCTGACCTTTCTGAAACATTTTTTACAACAGTAAAAAAAAAATTAATGGTAATCAAATGGAATTTCATGTCTGAGAGAAGTTCCCCAAGCAAAACAAGATGTTGCAATATTTTCAGGAACTGCATATTTTGTCTTCCAGATAACTTCCATCTATCACCGACATAAAAATAGAAATCCTGAGTTAACAGTATTATGATTTTTTTTCATTTTTTTCAGTTGACAACTAATGTTCTTCCACATAACATAATTCATGTCACTCAGTTATATAATTTGAATATTTTTAACCTTTCCTGTATAGACACGGGTCCTAAGAGCTTTTGTAACGTTAACATGCTCGTGCTGCATAACAAAAAACAAAAATCTGTTTCAAAAATTCCTTGTCAGCCGATTATTGTTTTGAACATATTCATTGTTACAGTCTCTGGCGGCTTGTAAATCCTCTGACTTAATTGAGGTTCTGAAATAGGATTATTTTTTGATAACGTTGATTAAATTTCGGGAAAATCCCACAGGAAAATTAAGAGCAGAAAAAAAAGAAGAAATGTCGAGCCAGTCAAGCAAAAAAGATCACTCCTTGAAGTATAATGGGTTTTTTTCCTCCTCCTCACTCGGCTTTCAAATTAAGCCGGCAAGTCCTGATCAATGGATGAAGAAAGCGCCAGTGTTTGAAATTCTCCTTGCGAAGACCTTCTCTTGGGAATCAGAGCACGTCCATTTAGCTGTTTACAGCCTGCGGGATTAGGCCGGCCGTTGGAACTTGTCTTTTACTCCTGTACGGTCGGTGGCCCGGCCAGAATTGGAGGGTTTAGAGGATTTTTTTTTCTGGATGTAATTGAAGGGCCTTCTTGAGAGCTGGGAGCACTATCTCATAGCTCACCGTTGGGGGGGGGGGGGAGTCCTGGGTGCTAGGCTGCTACATGTAGCTGTCACTGGAATGGGAAACAGTTTCCATGGAGACAGAAGCACTATATAATGCCTGCAATGTTTTGTCTTCCTGCCTGTCCATTGGTCAGTTCTGCTTTTGAGAAGTGGTGGATCCTAGAGCAACCTAGAGTGACGTTTATGTATCCCTGATAAGTAAAATGCCCTGGCCATCAGATCATTTTGCTGAGCAGCTCCAGATCTGTATCCTCACATGTAACCATTTATACACCTGGATGGAGAGAGGCAATTGTAGTTAAGTGTCTTGCCCAAGACCACAAGCACCATGTCCCACGTGGGCATAATTTGAACCCACGTACCATCCCGTGTGTCGAGCACCATAATAATTTTGCTGCGGTGCTCTACAATTATCGACACCTCCTTTACTTTTCAAATATAGTATGGGTACTCGCCCTTCTGAATAATATCCACCACTCTTGGAGAACCATGATGTGTACTTCAGAAGTCAATTTATCCAGTCAAAAGTGCAGAGGTGAGACTGATTACATCTACATGTAAATCACGGTTTGCCAAATCGCAGGAAAGAAAGAAAAAAAAAGAGCAAACCCAATTAAAGTGAGCAGGCTCCATCTCCGCATTTGACATCTCAACTTGGATAGTTTGTGCGATGACGATAGTTGGCGGTTTGGATCATGGTCCAATGAAAGGCAGGACAGATTTAGATCAAGCAAACTATCCCCTCCTCGGGGACTGAACCGAAAAAACTTGTCATTAGGGGAGTGTGAGGCTGTAAGCCATGCAGCATGAGCCTGCCACAGGGAAAGCAACTGATCATCAATCCAGCGTGTTGATTGATCGGTCATGCTCTATTTACACATTCCAGGTTTTTTTCTTTCAGGTTTCTTTTCTTTGTTAGCTCTTCTGTCATGTCACCTTTTTTCTTTTGCTGTAATTACAGCGCTGGGGTCTACATCATCCTAACGGAGGCGACCTGGAATTCCTGCTCTCTTTCGCGCATACTTGTCTACACTGCAATCGACCGCGATTGATTCTGGGGTTCAGATATTGTAATTACAGCAAAGACTGAATTCCTATTTCCCCCCCCCCCCCCCCCCCCCCCGAAAATAAAAAAAATCTGGGACTGGAATGAATTTGACAAATGCAGCCAATGCTTGTAGTAGCAGAATTGAAAAATGTGTGCCCACAAATAATTTAAAATGACACTATTCAATCATTAAGGTTTAATCACTGTTCAATCATAAAGTGTGGAGAAATTAACAAATCTGTTAACTTTTTTCAATATTCCGTTTACAGACAGAAATTGCCAAGCGTCTCAACGCAATCTGTGTACAAATCATCCCATTTCTCTCACAAGAGGTAAGTCTTACATCCAACAGAGAAGTTAAATTTTTCAGTTTGAAATTTCCACACTTTCCTTATCAGACGAATCCAGGCACGTGGTCACAGTTATACACGCATGTGGCCCCCTTCAATGGAGAATCCACTGCTCACGCTATTGTACAAAACAACTGTCCTGTAAAGGATTATCTGAACAATAGCTAGCACAATGCTTTCACCATTGAAGGGGGCCTTCGCGATAGAATTGATAACGTGCCCGGATTGGTCTGTACATTTCGGATTACCCAATAACGCCATTGAATGGGCTAAGGCCCATTGAGTAGACTAGATGCATGACAAGACTTCCGGTGAGTAGCCATTCTGAATCCATTGACACCAATTGTGTGCGCTCAGAAGCCAACTTTACTAGGCCTTGCTGCCTTGTCATGTTTTCCCCTCGCAGCACCAACAGCAAGTTGCAGCGGCTGTGGAGAGAGCTAAGCAGGTCACAATGACCGAACTCAACGCCATCATTGGGGTGAGTCCCGATTCATGTTCTCAAACCCGTTTTGTCAATTTGTCCACTTTTAACTCGTCTTTCAATCAACAGTATACAAATCTCTTTTGTTTTATGGAGCTTCGATTGGAGTTTCTTGGCATTTTTTTTCCATTGTACATTTTGACTTGAGGGATTTAGCTTATACTATCTGAACTAAACAGGATGCTAAGAATGGTTGTATGACCTCTAAAATTGATTTGAAGCACTTGACAATATCTTTTATGCAAATTTATTTGTTGCATGCAAAAAGAATGTGCTTCTCCATACAAACTGAATATGTAAAATGATTCCCTCCATAATTCACAAGGGGGTATATTGCATTAGGGAGGTGTACATGTATGTGAGCACGATCCTACAACACACCTACAATACATGTACATCCTTACCTGTAGTCTTTGTCCAAGACTGGGTTTTCTTTTTCGATTTTCGATTCCTGACGAGTCAGTAAAGCCAACACAGTGGTAGAGGGCCCCATCAACAAGATAAATCAAAACCAACCTTAGGAACTTTGACAGTGGGACCCAAAACACATTCCAAGCTTACCTCTCACATGTGCCTTTGCTTGGACATAGCTGGCGCCTGTGAGGTTTGCTCGGAATGTCTTGGGTCCCATTGCCAACGTTCCCAAGTCTGGTTTTGATTCATCTTGTTGATGGCGCCCTTGCCTGCACTTGTCAGGGATCTGAGTCCAATTTCATGGCACTGCTAACCACAGAATTCCGTGCTTACGATCACCATTTTGTGCTAATCGTGCTAGCAAAAAAATTCTGTGCTGACCCTATAAGCACAGAATTACATGCGCATAAGCCAAAATTCCTCTCTAAGGCATGAAATACGCTTACCGTAAGCACGGAATTTGTTCTGCTATAGTAAGCAGGGATTTTTTGCAAACTGTAAGCAAAGCCAAGAAACTGGGCCCAGGACAGGCTGCTTTAGGGGATCCAAATCCAGTCCTGAACCAAGGCTACTATACCTGGGGAGTCCTTCCCTGACCGCATATTCCCACCTCACCACTTTTTTTTATTAATTCTACACTCACATCCTACACTCTTAACCAAACCCTGACCAAACCATCGGTTGTTGATAACCGTGAGTCGGAACTGCCCATAGGAAAAAGCCCAGGTCAGACTTTTTCCTTCCTCCACAGACAGAGGTACATGGAGTCTAGATCCCATGGTAGATATCTTCCCGTTAAATGGGGTATATCCGGCCATTTTACATGCACCAAGATTGAGGAAAGGAAACATATCTGGAGTTCTTAAAAGCTTGACCCTGTCATTAAAATATGATATATGTGCCCTCCAGCACAAAACCGGTCAAAAGTCGTAAAGTCGGTTTTTTTTTAAATACAGCATATAATACAGTCTATAATATAGAGTATCACTGAAAATTGGGAACTGAAAATACCTATAACTCGGTCAGATTCCCATATTCTATACATCATTGGAAAGCTCATTCAATATCCTTTCCAATGAGCCTCAAACCCAGTTTTCAAAAGTTGGTTCAAGTGACTGGTTTTTATGCTTAGAGGGTCACATAATTATCCTTAATTTAAGGATAGGGACAGTACCTTGTAAACTACAAACCCTTTCCCTGCAATTCCCCAAACCCTTTCCTGAAAGGACCTGAAATGAACTGAAATCTTAAAAACAAGTATGACGCAGAGGCCTGAGCAATTTCAGACCCATTTTTGAATTTGGTTGACGTGGGATATTTTTAATTCAAGTCTGTGAATGCCTGTGGTTTCGTGGCTGCTTTCCATTCACACAGTGCAGCCAACTGAAGTGAAACTGATTCGATACCTTGACTAAGGCGGTGAGGAATTTCGCCCTGTTCTTCATGGCCAGTGATTGTAAAATTCTCTACGATTGTTTGGCCCGATTCAGTTTAGTGAATCGAAGAAAAAAAATTGAAAAAACTCGGTGGGTATTTTGCCTTGTTTTTGAATTTTGTAAAAGGAAGGTATTTTAGACAATAGAGCCCCAAATATGTTTGCATTTCGCGGCGGTTGAATTTATCTTTGGTTCACTAATCCCAAAATGTGAAAGGTTAAAAATAGTTGCGGGTTTCATTTGAGAGGGTCTAAATTTGCCATTTTTGTGAAAGCAAGTTTATAAGTGGGGCTCTTGGTCTGCCGAGCAAAGAAAAGTAACTTTCTCTGATGGTTGTTACATCCAGTCCCCCAAGTAATCTCAGGGATGCTTCAGCAACCAACCTGAAGAAAAAAAAACTTCAGATGATAAAAAATCTCTGAATAAAAAGAAGCTTCGATGAGTTCGGACCTTCCGAATTATGGCCACGTAGACCAAAAACGTTTTTAATGATGGTATAAAAGAATCAGCACATGAACAATTCAGAAAAATATCTTTTTGAGTGCAAGTACAAGTTGGGCTTCTGCTTTTACGTGAGTATAATAATGCCAAGAAAGAACAGCAGGAGTTTCCTCCCCAAGTTAATGAAACAAAAATGTCTGAAGATCTGAAGTAAGGGTACTTTTATATGACCTTTTTTTTTTTTTTTTTTACTACAGAATCATAGGAAAATCTGAAGGGAAAAAAACCAGTGAAAATGTTTAAAAGAATCAAAGAAACGGGGAGAAAAGTTCCAAAACTGTTGCCATGACACCCACTGTGCCCATTCCCCAACTCAGGCCCAGCTCAACCACCTTCTCATGTAGGCTGTTATCTTTTGTTTCTTTCTCAGCAACAGTCGGCGTTTCCACATTTTTCCGTAAGTTTGACAGTTTCCTCTCTCTTTATCTCTGCAAAAAAATGCACAAGTTTCTGAGAAACACAAAAAAAGCAGACCTCCCGAAATGAACAAGACAGCTCGGTTGTGTTTTAATAATGCTGTCTGAGGGGGGGATGAAACATGGAAATAAATGTAGCTGTTTCACATTAATCTTTGCATTTTGAAACAAAGGGAAGACAAAACGAAATTGACAGAAAACCGACCAGGAATTGGAGTGCAGACGGCAGATGGAGACAGCGGCTTCACCTCATTAAACACATTTTTTTCAAATGAGTGATAATTCAATTTAAGAAAGCATGGGACTTGGGCTGTTCACACTGGAATTAAACCAGGAACTTGCATGTCTGTATTTTAAAGCCTGCATGTACTTCAAGAGTGTACTTGACCAGTTTTCTTCCAAGGAAACTTGTTGAGATAAGACTACTATTATATGCAAGTATAGCCTGTAACGTTTGTTTAACAACCAATTAGGCTTGTTAAGTGGACAGGTCAATTTGTAAAGGACAAAGCTCAATATGATTGCTATGTTGTAATTAACAAAAGGTACGTGTACAGAGACAATTGGAATCCCACTTATGCCATGGTCGCTACGTGTTTGTTTGAGTCTGGGCCTGGGTAAAAAAAAAAATGGTAGCGAATGGTAAAAACTTATTTTCATTATTTATGGGTTTATTGAGAAATTAACTTGTGTTTGGCTATTAGGCAGTGCTTTAAAGGGAATGTACATCATTGGCTTTTGCTGTAATTTTCAGAAATGAACTATTTGAGGGGTTAGTATAATAGATCAAATATTGTTACACTGACATGTTTGAAGTTTTGTGTTCGAAAATGCTGGAAAAACCAAGAAAAACAAAAATGTTCAAGTAGTCTGGTTCCTTGACTCCACTAAAGATAAAATGGATCAATTTATAGATGCCGGAAAATTGTAAGGTAAGGGAACCAGTCTAGCTGGCCTGCACCCGTTTATGAATATGTAACCAATAGCAAACAAAATTTGGACTAAAAAAAGTGTAAAATTGGGGCAGTGGTTGAAAAATAGTTAGGTTTTTCCAACGGTGGTTGGCCGACCACGATTGGAAATGTATACAAAAATACCATTTTCTTGAAAATGACTTCACACCAGGTGCCATAATTTTACAGGATGCTTTAGACTGTCATTTACCAACATCCTAGTAAGGTATTTCGTAAAAACTTGGTAGTTTTATTTTTCGATGTTTGCAAATGTTGTATATTCCCTTTAAATCAATACTGTGGATCATTGAGAAATGATGCGTTTATGGGATACATTATGCAGCTTGAAAAAACTACCTAAATTACATCACCAGTTTGGTGTGGTCATTTTACCAAACCCACATATGTGCATATTAACATTTTGATTTGAAATGCACATTGCCAATAATTTGCACATTGCCAATAATTTGCCAGATGAAATAATCATGCAAAATATTGTGACGTAACAAGCAACTTTTTCCAAGTCATTGTACGTATCCTGTACGCATACCATTTCAAATGGTCCCTAATTTTTATTTTCCATGATGGGATACATTAAATACATTGAGTACATTAAGCCAGTGGATATCTGTTTATGATTTGTTTGGCACAGCTTTTCAGCGAAATTAGCAATACAATAGGTCTTTAAGTACACATGGCCTCGAGACAAAGTAAAATAGTACAATCCTTTGTCTCAACTAGGTTGTTAAACCACAGCACCAGTAGATAAAACGTCTGTCCAAATGTACATGTTCAATAAAACAGTAATACTATACGATCTTTGATAACGCAGTCATTTTTGGATATCGGTTAGGTTTTTTTTTTCTCCCTAAATATGAGGGTTAGGGTTATCAGTGGTTTCAAGCTGCTAATGCTGCCAGACGAGCAAACAAGTTTTTATCGGGACTCAAGGAGAATTTATTTGCATATAGGGTTGGCCAGTTACCAAGGAAACAAGGGCCAAAAGGATATTTCATCTCGTAAAGAGGGCGGTGTCAATTGGAGACTAAGGAATAAAACCAATATAAGTGGCAGGGAATATAAATCATGTTTGTCTAACTGCTTCTCAGCTTCGGGCGATTGATATCTGTATGTGGTTTTGTGTTTAATGTTTGTTTGTCGCTTGATAGTTGATAAGTTAATATTTAAAATTTTAATTGCTTCGAAAAAGATTTAACGGTTCTCAGTCACAGTGGCAGTAAAATACCGTAGTTGCACATTAATACTAACTTTTTACATGTGGGTTTGAAAGAAAATTTGACGTTTCAGTTAATTCTGTTAATTTTATTCCTAATTTTTTTGGTGGTGCATGCTGTTATATAATTTTTCTTCTGTTTATAACTACATCTTTCAGCAAGTCTTTGAAGAATGATCCATTCAACCCACTTTTAGTTTTTTATGTTTGTTTACATCAGGCCTAATAATAATAAATTATATCAAATTTTGTTAGGGGTTGTGGGAGTTTTTTTTTATTTAACATTGTTGTCAAAGCCTTTGTTGTTCGTATTGATTTTTTCCACTCATTCAACACTATATAAACCGCATATGTACATGTACTGTAGTCCACAGCACACCTCCACAGAAGCACCCTTAATTGACCATGATTTCAATTAGATCGTTATTGTTGACTCTGCCACTAATCATCTTGTGGTTTTGGGGTGTGTAATACACAGGGCATTGTGCAGCAACAGCTGTTCTTTCAGGGATCAACTTGGAAAGTGAGTGTGCTCCCCAAGACAGCACCGATGTTAATTTAGTCGGAGTATTTCAAACAAACTGAGCCTATGCTGTCAGCAGTTTTTTCGTATATATAAGTGTGTGTGGCAGTATGCGAGATCCATTTTGCTTTTTTTGCAATCTGATTTTTTTTTACTTTTAGAGTGGGTTTAATCTGAAGCTCATCAGTTGCCAAACTGATTGATATTAATCTTCTCATTTTGAATTCAACAAAATTGGGACGTAAAATAAATTATTATGACCTCCGGATGACAGAAGTTGAACCAGCTTGTTTAAAATGCAGTCAATTAAGTTAATGTCTGTACTGTCTTTGTAAACGATAATTCTGCCTGCGCTCATGGAGTGACCGTTTTACACAAGCTTGTAAATTTCTCGTCTGAAATGGCTCAGAATGTTTTCACCACCGCATTTTCCATTTTGTCACAAGTAGTGTTTGTTTCTTTATTATAGGAGCATGAATCAATAAATATATCTGTTGGCGTTTACATTTTAATTTTTTTTATCTCTTACGTTACGTTTTGGGGTTTTGAAGTTTGGTTACGGGATGGGATTTAATTTTTTATTTTTTTATTTAGTTTTGATTGAGTTTGACTTGTTTTGAGTTTTCTTGTATGCCTGCACTCTGCCAGAACAATTTCACGTTTAGATTTTTTAACAAAATTATGGGTGAGCTGTTGGTGTTTTCACTGTAGCTTGTTGGTTGTAACACGTACACTGTTTTTAAGAAAAAAAAGGTCTGCTTAAAAAAAAAATGTTTTCACATTTTGTCGGTTTGTTGTAGTTGCCTGTAGCAAGTCTAACTATGATTGAGCTTTTATCAAACTTTTCTATTTCATTATACTTGTACCACAATCACATGACATGGCCGGTATACAATTTTCAAGACAATAAACACTTGCGACACACCACTGCTACGTTGTTATTGTTTAGGTTTGATGTTGACAGAAGTGCTCTCCATAATTTTCTTTTTCTGTAGTGTTGAAGAAAATTGCTCAATGTTCTTTGCTTGACACACTCTACCCCTTTCGATTTCTGCAGTCAGTGGTGATTTTTATATTTTAAATCAATGTATTCATAAGCACTTCTGCTGAAAAGATCTTTCCTCATTAAAAGTCCAATCCCTTCATGTCCCAGTATCTAAAAAAATTCACCCCCTTGTTTTCCATTTCACCCCAGGGAGGCCAGGCAGCCCTTCAGCACCCGTTGCCCCACGCCCATGCCCCGCCCGTACCCATGCCCGCCCATCCAGCTAGTATAGGGGGAGCGCCCAGTATGATGTCAGGACACGGTTCAGGACTGTTGCAGCTGTCCAACGCGATGAACTCGCACCCACCAATCCCTGTCAAGGATGAGAAAGGTATGGCCAAAGTTATGATCTTTTCCCTTTCTAATTATCTTTTTGACTTTGGACTAAATTGCTGTTCATGTGACGGATTTAGGGCAATGCACTATGACTGTATTTGACTGCAAAGTGATGATTTTCTTGCTGCCATCTGCAGGTACCATTTCGAGCCAATATATTATGCAATGGGTATTATTTCATTTTTGACCATCAGTATGTTTTGTAAAATATGTATAGTTAACTTTTGGGTACAAAAGTATGCCTTTGCTTCAAGCTTTAAGCTATCATCGTTTATGTTATGTTTTACAACAAAATGCATTTCACTTTCGGTAATTTTTATTTAGGAAAAACTCCTTTCATTATCCCTAACTCCCTAGGGGGTATGCAAAATCGTATTGAAATTGGAGGATTCAGGACTTGGAGACATTCTGTACATCCAAATTAGATTTCATTGTACATGTATGATTGATACAAATTTTGGTAATCCAACGTCATTCATTTCAAGTTACAACATTTTTAAAATAATGTTCTGGGATTGAAATGCCACTGAAAAAGCCTTTTGGAAGATGTAATATGAAATAACATTGCTCGTATATTTTCAATCTTCTGTTTTACAAAGACTAATGTTGTACAACTTTTGTTTTTGCACCACTGTTACGTTTTTCGTCATATCCATTCCCTGCAACTCTGCTGTGGATTCCTTCTGCCTTTCTGCCAATGCACTCCAACCACACAGAGAGACAGGTAAGTCTAACAAATAATTGATACCTAATTTGTCAATTGCTTTCTTTCTTTCTTTCTTTCTTTCTTTCTTTACATTTTGTACGAGAACAGTTCTATTGCCCATCCTTCATTTGTAGGGATTATGTGTTAGGCAGTGCAATTTGTACCCAGGTTTAGGTCTTACACTGCTCAAAGCCCACTGGGTCTGAGATCATAATCTGAAGGGCTTTGTGTGTAGCATTACATTATTATCGGATCATCTCTTCGGCAAACCTTGGATTTTTTTTTTCTCCCAGAAGGGATGGGATTATAAATAAACATTGGAGATTGGGACAGATGGTGGGGTCAGACTTTGCTGCTCAGAGTGAGAGAGAGAAAAAAGTACACATTCATTGACCTTTTTTGTATCTGTCATTCAGAACACTTCTGACCACATACCAAGGTCTATAGTCGTGTTCCCTAACGTGGCACACTTCGAAGCTTACCCGACTTTCCTCGTGTAGTGTTGCCAAACCTCTTTGTTGACAAACCTCAAATTCATGCATTAAAATACTGGTACTTTTACCTTATTAATGCTTGCTATTTAACCTCTGTGAACGATTTCAGTTTCATAAAATTTAATCCGAAATTCAAAAACTGTGGCGTCCGGAAATTGGGCACAAATTGGCGGAGTGTTCCCTAACATGGCGCACTTGAATAAATCTTGGAAAATTCCAAATTAACACTTAAGAATTCCTGTAAACTTGATAAATTGTGATAAATAATTATTATCTCTACTTACATACCCAGCCAAATGTTTGTCAGAAAATTATTTTCTTATTTTTCAGGGCATTTTCAAAGGGTTCACTTTGCACTTGAAAATAAAATCGGAAAATCACGCCAAAATAACTTTTCCTTCTAACTTTGTTACGGGTAAATAAACTCGCGATTTATGAACAGGACTGTTTAGAACTTGATGAAATTTCACTTTCTGTGAAATTTCAGTTAAAACTTTTGCTCTAGGTAGGCGCTACAGGCGAAAAATCAAAGTGCGCCACGTTAGGGGCCGCGCCACGTTAGGGTACATCAACAATAATACAAATGTACATGTTGTACTGTAACCCTAGTGTAGTCCACTATTGCTGTGATAAACATCAGCCTTTACATGAATTAGTCAGGTGCATTGGTGGTGAGTGCAGTGGTAAAAATAATTTCATGAGGTGACAGATGGAATGTTCCATTCCACGAGGCGAAAATGGAACATTCCATCTGTCACCAAATGAAATTATTCTTTCCATTGCACGAAGGTAAAGCTTTCATTATTTTTTGTACAACACCTGAATAAATCTTCATCATCTGATTGGTCTGAGGCGCCCAACTTGCCAGTTGCATACCTGATCTGTAGTAACATATAGTTTGTAGGTGACTGGTGAGCATGTTTCACCACAACCACCAAAAATAATTTCAGTCACTTACATAATCAGTACCGAAAATGCATGTTAGTCATGTACTAACTGAATTTATACTATTTTGGCGAGTCCATCCTTTGCGATTATTTTTTTCAAAATTTGAAATTTAAAACCATCAAGTTGAAACACGAAAGGAAGCCGTCAGTTATATCAGTAGGCATTAAGTAGTGCCATAAAATGGAGAAAACAACGACATGAAACAATTGCCCCATTTCCCTGATAACCTTTCATGCTCAAATGTCAAAATTATGCAAATGTCCTAAATCAACTCACATGTAGACTTTTGTGTGTCACTTTACCCTGAACCAAAAAGACTGTCCGCATAATCCCTCCCTCATTTGGATAATTGCTAGGCGAAGCCTTCCCGTGACAATTCAACTGGACGGGACGCCAGCTTTTCCAGGACTAATGTGCTGTTTTTCAAGGGGGATTAAAAGATTAAAAAAAGCTCAGGCAAGATGATACGGTGTCAGAACCTGTAAGCTGCTTTCCCCCTCAACCCGGGGAGGAAAAAAATAATCGGCTTAGCGGAGCCCGTCCCCAGCCGCAGATGCTGATAAAGCAAGTTATGAAAAATGTATTTATCACGGGGAAGGGACGTTATTTGCAGGGGAGGGGGGGGGGTAGTTATGGGGAGGCTTACTGAAGGACTGTAGACAGTAGGATGATCCAAGAAAGGTATAGAGAGGGTGAATTTTCAGGGAAGATGAAGATGTGATTCATGTGATTCTACTCCCCAGAGTCAGTAGGACTTAACAGTAATGCATATGATAGAAGGACATGAATAAGAACATGATCAGAGTTTTCTATGAGGATATTACATGTGTGTGACATGAAGATGGTACCAAAAACATGACATGGTCAATCCCTAGGCAGCAGCAAAGAAATTTTTACTTGAAACTTGTTTGTCAAAAAAATTGTCAACACTGAATCATGTGTGCTTGTCTCATTCACACTCTTAATGCAGATCAATCAACTTTTTCCAAAGTGATCTTTCTTTGTCACTGGTTGTTGGATTTTTTTCCAGGTTTTTCTTATTAAAGTCCACAGTTTGTAATATTTTAGTAAGGAGATTTCAAACAAGCATGTCAGCTTGTTTTGCTGGTTTCCTTGTTAAGTTTTCCGCTTAACACATGCTAACAAAATACCTACAAGTGTACAAATCAGCAATATGTTCAAGTGACAACTTCATCTGGCAGTTGCAGTATGCATGAACATAGGTGACAGACATAAATGAATCAACCAGTTCCTCACTGTTCTAATGAGGTCTCCAGGAAATCTGAATCAATAGGGCCCTGTATTTACACAAATTGTAAACTGACTACTTTCATGGGCCAGTAGGTCACAGCTGGCTTGGGGCGAAGTCTCAAGGGACTTTTCAAGGGGTGGCCCTGAATAGTTATTTTGTCTGCAAAATCACTCCCCCCTGTTTCTCATCTCAAGATGCCCTGTCCTGGCGGTGTGTTTATGCTGTCAATGACCAGCCTAGGCCGGTCACATAATTTGATCATGGTTGAAGTGGCAGTCCTAGCTAATCGCATTTGCATGCCTGCATGGGCATGCATCCACCAAAGGCTTCCTGTTCAAAAATAAGGGGGGGGGGTAGATAATGGCCACCTTTGTTGGTTGTCTCATGGAGCTGTTAATGGTTGTCTGTAGTCAGTGTCGTATTCCTCCATGGTTATACACTGAAGAAATCACCTGCAATTATGCCAACCCCAACCCCCAAGTGCTACGCAGTGATTGGTCTATCGGACGGACCAATTAGGAAACAGCTCCTTGCCTTGAGCAAATCCTTCTTGAGATATCTGTGTACCATGCACACCTTGCGATGTGATGGCCCATGGACATCCTGTCCTGCTTGTGACCCACAGTATAAAGGCCACACTGCCATGGAAAGTGTCTGTAATCTGGGCCCTTTATCCAACTGAATAGGATTAGGATTGATTAGTACTGCAGATAAGCCCTGACTCCCCAAGTTATGAAACTGTTTATTTGCCTTAGTCCAGCTCATGCTATAGTTCTGACCAAACCAATGGAATTAGCAAACCCTCCAATGAGGTGACAGTGGTCTTTTCCTGTTTTCCTTCGCCAGGGGCAGTGTGCTGCTCCTTGTAAATAACCCCTGACATGGCATGTAGGCAGTGTGTACTGTACAAACCAACCAGGCAAGCTTCTGTGCACAAAACCCAATAGGCAAGCTTAATTCTGTGTGCCACAATCTGGCACTGGCCCAGTTGCATTAGAATGGCTCATTTGCATAAGCAATCAAAGCTGACAAGCTGTATGGCCGGTTCTACACTGGTGCCCCGTGGTGGCCGGTCCCATTAGGGGATAAGGGCCTTTTGTGTGACCTAGCCAGACCCAGATGTACCGGTAGTCACTGTTAGGCACAGGCTTGGTTGACCGCATGATGAAGCATGTGTAATGCGGCCGTGATGCATACCAGGTTGTGGGTGGGACCTTGGGGGGCGTGCGGTATGTGCGGTTAGACTGGGCGCCTTGTTGTTGAAATCGGTACCCTGCCACTTGGTCAACGGGATAAAAGAAATAGTTTCTCAATTAAATTGAGGGCATTTAAAATATATATTTGGGGAAAATTCGAAATTTGTCTTCAATTTTTATTATATGATGAAGTAATTCTATTGTCTCAACAACTGCAATGGAAATTATATTCCATCTATTTAGTACATGTAGATAATGGCTACATTCAGATTTCAAAAAAAAGGGGGAAATAAAATTTACTTGAATGTTAAATAAGTGCGTCACATTCTAACTGAAATATAATAAATCAGCACGTAAAAACATATCTAAATAAACAAGATGTTTTTGTCCAGGTATTCAAGGTCATTCCATCACATTGGAAAGTTAAATCTTACATTTTTAGATTTTAAGTAAAGGTATCAAACTGCTGTTATTATTATTATTTATTTGACCCAAACAGCATGAAGTTACAGATACTTAAAAGGGAAACATTTAAAAAAAAAATAACAACACTCAGGTTTAAATAAATAGAAGCAGAAAACAAAATAAATAAACCAGAAAACAAAATTAAATTGTTCTCAAATTGTACCCAGAAATGGGTATCGTAACAGCTTGTAAAATATGGCCCATTGAGATTAAATTTAGCTACATATTAATATCACAGTGTTTGAAGAGAGACAGGTTTCATAACTACTTGAATTACATGTAACCACTCTCCAATATCACACAGTAAGGCCGACACATTGTACCTTCCTATTTGTAGTTAATCATTAAAATCGAACCTTCAGCAGGTGATTTCTATAGTGTAGTGTGCACGGCCGTCGAACAAACGAATCATTATTTCCAGCCAGCTTGGCTAGGCAGGAAGCCATAAACACTGGCTTGTTGCATCCACTTTTAATTGTCCATGAATCTGTCTAATGGCATTGAGAATAACTCTCTTTAAAATTAATGATACTATATTAGGAATGATAACATTGAAAATAGAATTTGATTTGTCTGCACAAATTTCTACCTCCATGATTAGACATGTTGAAAGCATCTTCTAATTTTATTCCTTGACATGTGTGTGAATTCCCCAATCAATAT